GGGGGGGGGGGGGTTGTTTTTTGTTTTGTTTTGTTTTGCTTTTAATGTCTGTGAGCCATTGTGCCTAAAAGCCCTCATCAGGAATGAGGCTCCATTGTAGTGAGTGCTCTATAAACTCAAGATTGAGCTCTTGCTTTGAAAGTAACCTTCTACTGCATAAGCAATTTAAATGCAACAATCTGTGTCCTCCCTCCCTCTGTCTATATGCCAGTTTTCTAAACTAAGATTCATTATATGTTCAGGAATCTTTTTAAAGGTGATTAAAATGTACCACATTAGATATGTGCAAGCGTTTTGTGATTACAGTTTTGTATATGACTGGATGTACTTGGTAGTTCTCAGTTGTTTTTGAAAACACCACCTCCATGTGGGAATAATGGAGTACCGTATGGTACCAAACTCAAACTTTTTCTTTTTTTTCTTATTTGTCTCTAGGCTTTCATTGCAGAGCGTGTAGGCAGCTATGATACTATGGATCTGTTTAGGCACACCACTGAACTCAGTATGCATGTAAGTATTTGAACAGCTTTCTCACTGGGTGGTTTTGAATAATTTTGCCTCTGGTACTATATAAAAGCCTATGGTAAAAGTTGATGACAGTTGGAAAGCTAGTGGCCCATTGCAAATTCCCTTTAAGGCACCCATGTTCTGTATTCTGTGTTCCTATGCCATCTTCACAACATGATAGCCTTCCAATAGCACAATAAATCTACTGGCAATACAGAAATGTATATCCTCAAATAAAAATTGAAATGTGGTTTGTAGTAAACCTAAACAATAGCGAAGCAGAAGAAAATGTTGACTGACTCATCTAAATGTCTAACGAGAGTGCTTTGAGAACTTCTACTGTAAGTAGAAGTAATTAAATTTTTTTGCACCTTTTCACTGTCACCTGTCACTTTTTAGCAGCTAATAACACCCTGTTTTGTTGTCTTCCTTCTTGAGACTGAAGGAGCAAAAGGCTATGCCCATTGGGTGTGCTCAACATTGCAGGATAAAAGCAACCGAAACTCTGAGCTGTATCAATACAACATCATTCAAATGCATGCCATTCCAGCAGCACAAGTGGTTTTGAGCAAATATACAGGTGAGTAACTTTTTAAAGACAAATTCTGTAATTTCGTATCAGAACTTGACTAAAAGACGTAGTTGTCATGAGTATGGACGTCTGAACTATTGCTGTGCCAAGTGATCTGATCATGTAATAATGATAAGGGGACAACTTAATTGTGAAGCAGATAACCAAAATGGATAGGTAGGTATCTTGCACTAATCATAGGCCTTTGGTGCACATTCATTTAGTGATGCAATGGGATCTGATCCACGATCCCAGCAATCACACCTCCTGCCCTGCCACACATGAGGCCAGCATCATTTTAAGATCAGATATCAGATCCTAGTGGCACTATTTAATGCACCAAAGCCTGTTTCAGACTCCTCTGCAGTCTCAGGACCATATTGTAGTCCTGAAGTGGCTCTGGTGACCATACACTCAGTTAAAGGCATAGTGGAAACCAACCCCAAAAATGTTATGCACTTTTTGGGAGTGATTTCCTGTTGTTTGTTTGGTTTTTCTTTTTGGGTTGTTTTTTTGGGGGGGGGAGTTGTTTTTGTTTTTTGGGTTTTTTTGTCACACCATTACTAGTGCCCATTAACAGGTTTATCGTGTCTTAATTATAAAGTCTTCCAGGGACTTCATTGGCATCAGCTGTTCACAATGGGGTATAATTGTGCTATTAACTGGGGAAAATCCTGAAGAAACTAGTAAGGACAGCAGGATCAAGGCTTTGACTCTCACTGTTGTTCAATGACAAATTGGGCACTTTGGCTACTAAAATATGGTTTAAGCTACAAAATCAGAAGTACTTTTACAGGGTTAAGATTTAATTAAATACAGTGTAGAGAGTACAAGGACCTAACTATAGAATTCCAACCTGTTCTAGTGGGATTAATTAATTAAGGAAGAATGTAAGTATGACTGCTTGCCATGAGAGAAAGCTAGAGCGAGAACTTTTAATTTGCTAACTACTTCACAGTAATACATAGATTCAAGGGACCTCGGAAGATCATTGAGTCCAGCCCTCTGCCCCAGGGGCAGGAAGTCAGCTGGGGTCACAGGATCCCAGCAAGATAAACGTCCAATTGACTCTTTAAGAGTCCAGAGTAGGTGCTTGCACCACCTCCAGCAGCAGTCTGTTCCAAGCCTTGTGGGCTCAGACTGTAAAGAAGTTCTTCCTTATGTCCAGCCTGAAACGGTCTTGGAGAAGTTTGTGACCATTTGACCTTATCGTCCCAACGGGGTGCTCTGGTGAACAGGCATTCCCCCAGATCCTGATGTACACCCCTTTATGTGCTTATAGGCAGTCACCAGGTCCCCCTAAGCCTGCACTTCTTTTTTCCAGGCTGAAGAGTCCCATGGCTCTCAGCCTCTTATCATAAGGCCTGTTTTCCTGCCCTCTGATTATGTCCGTGGCTCCTCTCTGGACTCTCTCTCAAGCTTCTCCGCATCCTTTTTGAATTGTGGAGCCCAGAATTGGATACAGTACTCCAGCTGCGGCCTCACCAAGGCCGAATACAGCAGGAGGATGACATCCTAGAATTTGCTAGAGAAGCATCTATGGATGCAAGCCAGAGTTCTGCTCGCTTTGCCAGCTGCAACATCACATGTGGTGGGTCATACTCATCTTGTGGTAAATCATGAACCCCAAGTCCCTTTTGACTGTGGTGGTAGCAAGCATAGGCACTGCCAAGCCTATAAGCAGGCTGTGGGTTTTTCTTCCCAAAGTGGAGTACCTTGCATTTTTCAGTGTTGAAGGCCATGAGGTTTTCATCCACCCATTTTCCGAGCCTACCAAGGTCAGCCTGGATTACCATCCTATCCTCAGGTATGGACTGTTTACCCCGAAGTTTGATGTCATCAGCTAACTTGGCCAGTCTGCTTCTGAGACCAATGTCCACATCATTAATGAAGATGTAGAAAAGAACAGGCCCTAGGATGGAGCCTTGGGGGACCCCACTGGTCACGGCGCACCACGATGATTGACTTCAGTCAACTACCACTCTCTGGGTCCAGCCTCGAAGCCAATTCCCCATCCGGCAGACTGTGATGTAGCCAATATGTCGCCTGGTCGTAGAAGGAGATGAGATTGGTCAGGCAAAACCTACCCGCAACAAACCCGTGCTGGCTATCCCTCAGAAAGTTGCCTTCAGCCAGTTTGTCAAGAATGATCTCTTTGATTTTCCCCCCCCGCCCCCCAGTCTTCCCCAGAGTAGACGTCAGGCTGATGGGCCTGTAGTTCCCCAGATCCACTTTCCTCCCTTTCTTGAAGATAGGCACCACATTGGCCTTCTTCCAATCTTTGGACACTTCACCAGAGCACCACGAGTTCTCGAAGATCCATGCCAGGGGCTGAGCTCCTTAAGTACCTTGAGGTGTAAGCTGTCTGGGCCAACCTCTCAAGGTGTTCCTTAACATGGTCAGCATTGAAAAGTAACAATTCTCCCTCGTCCTGGCCATCCCGTACCGTATTGAGCAGGGCCGTCCCTTGGGACTGGTGAAAAACCCATGTAAAATACCTGTTAAGCAGATTGGCTTTTTCCTGGGCATCAGTTATCAGTTGACCCATATGGTTTAGCAGGGGTCCAATGTTACCCTTGCTTTTCCTCTGGCTCCCCACATATCTAAAAAAAGGACTTTTTATTGTTCTTGATATGTGTGGCCAGTTTGTCCATGTGCACAGTGAATGTGAGGCAGCTTGAGTCTCAACCAAGCTACTGTGCATTTGCTGCAGGATAGGCAAGAACACAGATGGCTTCTGTGGAGTAGCTAAAGCCGTAAATATACTCCCACACTTAAGTTTTGGTAATTTGTTCAAATAGCTGTACCCTGTCTGTGTTCCTCCCTGTGTTCTAAAAAGAACCTTTACTTTCCCACTCAAAATATCAAATTGATAATTCTTTGCCTCATTTTTAATTGCATGGAACCAAAAGCAGTACTACTAAAACTAAAATCTTAGGGCATGGATACACACAACACTTAGATTAGTTTAAATGCTGTTTAAACCTGAAGCAGACAGATTTAAAACAGGCTTAAATGTCTTCCTGAAATAGTTCAACGGGGTACCTAGAAAATCAAGTCCTATTTTGAACCTGTTCACTGTTGTGTAGAAACAGTGTTCTGTGCCACAGGTCTGGTCTGTCCTCCATCCCACACTGCATTGTTCTTCACCCCTCTACACACTACTGTCTGCTGTGGTATACAGCCAGAACTGTTGCCCGCTTTTTTTCCCTCTTTTTGTTTGTACTATTTTTTTTATCCATGAGCTGTCCTGCACTGTTTGTTCAATAAAAGGCATCTTTCTTAACACAGCCAGCTATATTATCATGCCTTACTTGGCTGCAGCCCCTCCCTATGCTGTGCCCCTGCCCCCCAACTCCCAGTAAGCTCTGGGAACCAAAAAGCATGGGTCTGAGCAATGACACCCCTACCCCCCAGTCCGGCAAGCATACCTAAGACTTCAGCCATTAGCCGGCTTTTGAAGTCTTATTCAACTGAGCTTAGGAAAGAGGAAAAGCAGAAGTGAAAATGCCTCCAGCCACAGGTCCCCCACCCCCTGACACTCCTACCCAAAGCATGGCTGCAAACCACTCCCCACTCTCCCAAGGAGAGAAATGCTGGGGTTGGTGCTTACTCCCACTCTGTGGTGTCAGAGCCACAGCACTCTGCACAATGGTGAACTGGTTCCTAATCAGTGACATTTTTGGAACAATTCAGGTGTTGTCCACACCCTTAAGGTTCAGTATATATTTTGCTGAAGACTGAAACAACAATTGAACCTCTTCCCATTTTTCATTTTCCAGGGAAAATGAATGTCCAATTTGAAATTTAGAATTGTTGTACTGATGAGTAAAACAACTTGTGTGCAGGAACTCTTAATGTACTAAGAATTAAAGCCATTTCTTGGATTAGTCTGAAGATGGTATGGGATTTTGGTATCTTCTTGTACATTCCTTCAGGTGTCTGACTTCCATTGACCTCAGTGAGCTTCTCACAGCTAGGACTTGGCAAGATGTTTCAAAACTGTGCTGCAGTCTCTTTATTACCTTTTAATTTTTTTCAATATTCGTTCTTGGAGTGTTCCTCAGTGTGGTTGTTTCTTATCTTCCAGAAAGAATTCAAAATGATGCATCTGCTTTCACAATGTTGGGTTATTTGAATGAGTATCTACAACTGAACAAACAGGCAACAGGTGCATACGAAAGGTAAGGTGTGCGCACATGCACACACACACTCTTTATCTCTGTCTTTCTGTAAGCTCTAACTTTTGTTTTAAAATTACTCTCAAGCTAAAAGGTCTGTGATAGGTTTGTTCCTTGGTGCATTTTAACTAGTGCACTTAAAGGGAAGATGGGGATGTCCTTTTGCAAAGTGGTGCCATTGTGTTAAGGTTAATCAGAGCATACAGAACTTGGGTAATATATCCAAACCCTTAAGGGTTTGTCTGTTGTTTCTGTGGCTGTTGTCAGGATGCTACTGGGAAGCACACCCACTGTTACTCTGCATGAGCCAGACTTAGAAATGAGGCAGGAAAGTCGTCCTGTTGACACTCCCCACTGCCATCTATTGTGCAGGAGTAGATGCGTGGAGCATCTTCTCAGAGAGGCTCTCAGAAGTATTCTCAAAATGGTGTTGTGTGCCCTGAGTGTGTGCGAGTTGCAAGTAGTTAACACAGTTGTCTTGCATCTCTTCTGGAGAATGAATTAATCAATGCCTTTCATGCAAGGTTTTACAGTAATTTCCAGCATGTTGAATTTTTTGGTAGGGATTAGGGAACTAAATTGTCATGGCTCTGCCTGTGCTGTATGCAAGTTGTTAATTAAAAGAATACATAAAAACAATTGTTCCCAGAAAGATGAGGTATTTCTATGCATACAGATGTTTTAAAGCAAGCATTAAAACTTATTACAACACTTATAGTGAAAGCACAGGACATAATATGAAGTCACTTCTCATTATCAGGAACAAATCTTTTGCTTGCTTCTTTTTAAAGAAGCAGGTCCTAGAAGTTGAAGTTGGAGGTGCACCGATACTTTGGTCCCATGTCAAATCGGTACCGATATAAGAAAAATTGACTATATCAGTGGTCGGCCTTTTTTTGGTTGATATGGCTGATAATGCCACCCATTAAATGCCCCATGCATGCACACAGCTGCATCACAGCATGCAGGTGGCCAGGAGTGCAGCCTAGCAGCTGGGTCTAGCCAGTAAGTCTGTTGTGAGGGAAGGGGAATGTGGGGGGCAGGTCGAAGCCCCAGCGGTAAGGGAGGGAGTGGGGCAGGGCAGGCAGTCCACAGGCGGGGTGGAACATGGAACAGCAGCAAGCAGCTTGTCTGGGGGGTTCAGGGAGGGGATGGTGGCTCCTGCTACACGCACCCTGGAAGGGCATGAGGGATATGTGCCCCCAAATCTGTGTGGGGTGAGGGTGGGCTGCTGCTGTGGGCTGGGGCTGGGGTGGTGCCAAGCTCTTCCTGGTGGGGGTGGGGGCTGGGCTGGGTTGCACTTGGGGCAGGCAGCAGTGGCACTGGTAGGGGGCTGTGGTGAGTTCTGGGGTGGCTACAGCCTCGCCCTATAGCCCTGTCCCAGTCCCACGGGAGCTGCCACCCCTACACCCCCAGGTTGAGCTGCTTGTGGCTCTGTCCCATGCTCCACCCTTGCTGTGCAGTACCTGCCCCAGCCCCACTCCCTTCCTCACCACGGGGGCTTCTGTCTGCTCCCCCACACCCCTTCCCTCCCCCCTCGCCCCTTCCACCACAGTAGACTT